TATTGTCCTGGACTTGATTTCCTAAAGAGGAAACCAAAGATATAGAATAACCAGTCAGATCCTATAGGATCTCCTACTCCTGAAGGAGAACATGTCATGCACAGATGAAATGTTAAATGACCAACCAAATACCCCATATGAGCAGTAAGACCCAGGAACTCAACGGTGGCAGCACAGTGTGATGGTCAAGACTGTACACTCTGCTGGAGTCACTTGCTTCTGTTTAAATCCTGTTTCTACTACTACTGACCAGCTCTGTTACCCAAGGCTGGTTACTTATCCTCTCTGTGCCTCGGTTCCCTCACATGTAAAATGAAATGACCCCCATAAGGTCATTGGGAGGATTATACGAAGTAATACTTGTAAATCACTTATGACAGTGCCTGGCACGGACAAAAGGTTAGACAAATGCTAGTGATCATTACATACCTCTTTGTATCCAGCTTATGACCTAGTGCTGTGCCACAGATATTTGTTAATTTTCTAGAAGTATTGGTATGAATACCAGACCATAGCCCTGTAACTGCAGTGTCATTAATTTATAATTGAAGGAGAAGGAGCCATTTTGGCTATAGAAGTAAAATGAAGTCTCCTGTAGGTACTCTGTTTCTTCCATTTTCTCACTAAAGGAAGAAAACTGATCTAATCTAATAAAAGAGAAACATGGTAATTAGCTGTACCTCCACTACCCTTCCCATTGGCTAATCAGGGCGATATGCAAATTAACTTCCAGCCAAGATGGCGACCGGCAGCCAGGCAGCTTGAAGCAAACATGAGGCTTGCTTGCTTCAGTGACGGAGGAAGCCAACGTTCCCCGCCTGCTGCTGCCAGCCTCTGAGCTTGCAGTTTGAAACATTGTTACAAATATAGAAGCTAAACAAAACCCCAAAAACCTGCTTTCAGCCAGCTGGGATCTCAGAGCTGGAGTTGAAACAGTGTTTCGATTATAGAACCCAAACAAACCATATACCTGCTTTCAGCAGCCGAGGCCTCAGAGCTGGAGCCAAGCCTCAGAGCTAAAGCTGGACCGGAATAAAAAGAAAAAGAAAAAAAGGAGCGGTTGGGAGCTTCAGTCACCCGCCAACCTGAAAACAGCCCTCAGCCCCTCACCCAGACTGGCCAGGCACCCCAGTGGGGACCCCCACCCTGAAGGGGGTGTGACCAGCTGCAAACAGCCATCAGCCCCTCACCCAGGCTGGCCAGGCACCCAAGCGGGACCCCCACCCTGATCCAGGACACCCTTCAGGGCAAACCAGCCGGCCCCCACCCGTGCACCAGGCCTCTATCCTATATAGTAAAAGGGTAATATGCCTCCCAGCACTGGGATCAGCGGAGCTGCGAGGCCTCCCGGCACCGGGATCAGTGTGACAGGGGGCAGTGCCCAAACCCCCTGATCACCCTGAGGCTCTGTGTGTGACAGGGGGTGGGGCCACAACCTCCCTTGCTCTGTTCATGACAGGGGAAGGTGCCCCAACCCCCTGATCAGCCCTGCTCTGTGCCTGATATGGGGGAGCTCCCCAACCCCCGGATCGCCCTGCAGCTCTGTGTGTGACAGGGTGCGGCATCCCAACCCTCCCCCCCCCCCCCCACACACACACACAGGCCCTGCTCTGTGTGTGACGGGGTAGAGCCATAACCTCCCCATCGGCCCTGCCCTGAGTGTGACAGGGTGCAGTGCCCCAACCCCCTGATCGGCCCTGCTCTGTGTGTGACAGGGTACGGAGCCCCAACCCCCCTGATGGGCCCTGCTCTGTGAGTAACAGGGGGCAGCGCCCCAACCCCCTGATTGGCCCTGCTCTGTGCGTGACAGGGGGTGGCACCGCAACCTCCCCATCAACCCTGCCTTGAGTGTGACAGGGGGCGGCGCCCCAACCCCCCAATCGGCCCTACCCTGAGCGTGACTGAGGGTGGCATCATAACCTCCCAATCCGCCCTGCTCTGTGCATGACAGGGGGAGGCGCCCCAACTCCCCAATCAGCCCTGCTCTGAGCCCGATCAGGGGCTGCACCTAGGGATTGGGCCTGCCCTCTGCCACCCGGGAGCAGGCCTAAGCCAGCAGGTCATTATCTCCTGAGGGGTCCCAGACTGCGAGAGGGCACAGGCCGAGCTGAGGGACCCCCTCTCTCTACCCCCGCCGAGTGCACAAATTTTTGTGCACCGGGCCTCTAGTAGTTTAATAAAAGGAAGTAAGATATTGAATAGCAGTTAAAAAGTAGTATCTAAGGTAATATGACAAACTAAATGTAACCCATTTATATTGGGCATCCCTGCCCATGGGAGAATAGGTTATACTTAACTCATACTTTCAACTTCGTGACTTCACTAAGTTCAGTGGTGACACCCAAGTGCTCTGGAAATCCAAGTACTTTATTCAGTGTTTTTCAAACTGTATCCATTGTCTTGTGACATATTCATCACCTTTCCATGGGGGAGTAAAAGGATGGAGGCTTTCCATAGTCCAATAGGTTTTGGAAACATGGATAAACCGAGCTAAGTATGTTTCTCAGAGGTTTTTGTTTTGTTTTGTTTTTAATGTATAAATCTCTAGGAGAGAAAGAGGTGTGTACACAGCACTTCCCCCAATGTATTTGACCATGGAATTCTTTTCTCATAAAAAAATGATATCAGTATCTCCAATTGCTCAGAAAGGAGTTGGGGACATGCTGCTCTAATTGAAAAAGAAAAACCTTCTTAGCAAATAACAGGGAATATGGGGGATATCCTATATAATAAAGGGGTAATATGCAAATCAACCGAATGGTGGAACGACTGGTCACTATGACGCACACTGACCACCAGGGGTCAGATGCCCAACGCAGGAGTTGCCCCCTGGTGGTCAGTGTGCTCCCACAGGGGAATGCCACAGCCAGAAGCCCAGAAGCCCGGCTCACAGTTGGCGAGTGCAGTGGTGGTGGCAGGAGTCTCTCCCGCCTCCCAGCAGCACTAAGGATGTCTAAATGCCGGCTTAGGCATGGGAGTGGGCCTAAGCCGGCAGTCTGACATCCCTGAGGGCTCCTGGACTGCGAGATGGCTCAAGCCGGGCTGAGGGATCCTCCCCCCCCCCCCCGCAAGTGCACAAATCTCATGCACCAGGCCTCTAGTTTACTATATAAAAAGGGAGAATTAATGTTTTGAATCCTATGAAATGCCAGAAACTTAAACAACCAGTTACATAATTAATGCAGCAATTGCATTATGTTTTATCACCAATATTTTACAGATGAAGAATTTGGAGCTCAAAGATGTCACACAGCTAGTAAGTTAAGGGGTAGCAGCTTCGGTTAATTGAAACACTTCTTAAATATCTGGAATTGCAAACTGAGGGAAAGAAAGACTAGCAAGTGAAAAAGAAAGATGACTCCAGGATATGTATGCACAACTTACACATTTTTCTTTTCATCATTTCACCTCCCCCCCTCCCCCAAAGTATGTTAACTGAAATACCCTGAGAGTAAGATGGGGAAAGTAGTAAGTCTTAATACAAGAAGCACAGAACAAATGCGAATGGTTCTAAGAAAAAGCACAAGAGGCCACAGAAAATATTCACTATGTTCTTTTCACATTTTACGACCACAATTTCTTTACCCCCAACTGAGTAATTTCCATAGCAGTTCCTGAGGTACATGAATACTGAGTCTATATTTCATTGGTCCTGGTTTCCTTTGAATATGGAACCAGTAAAATTAAGACAGATACATTTTTTAAATTATGTAGATTAAAAGAGGGAGTGGGGTCTGGAATCTGCATTGAACATTTTTTCCTGCTGAAATACGTATTAGTATATGATACATGTCCATATGTGTCAGATACATACACACTAATGTAATTTGTGATTTAAAAGGAGGTCACCTCTCAAAGTCAGTGACCCAATTGCTTAAAGGATTTTTCCAGGCAGGTGGTCTGGAAACCTTTTACTTATTGCCATCTCTGAACTTTTAAAATCTTTTCCCTCTTAAAATATCTTGGAGAACATGAAACAAGGCAACAGAGCCTGTAGTTTTGAGAGCATTTCCCCACACAGAACACTGTTTTACTTCTCATGATAACCTTATTGTAGATAAAGCAGGTCCTTTTATTCCCATTTTTAAGATGTGCAATTGAGGTTTATACAGCCACAGTGAAGCCGGACTCGAAAGGTCAAGTCTAGCATCCTTAATGTCACAGCCTTGGGCCTCCAGATGAATGAACTGGGAAGCAAAGTGAATTACTGCTGAGAACTGCACCTCAGAAAGGCTTTGGTTTCTGTTCCTACATTTCACTCATATTTTTCTGAGACAAATTTATACCACGGCCACAATATACAAACATTCTGATTAAAAAAATAAAAAGTCATGTTCGTGTATCTGCAGAGTAGGTTCTTTTCTTTTTTCCTTTCGTGAAATAGCCTGAAAACAGCTCCCCCTTGCTGTCTTTCAAAGCATATCTTCACTAAAGTTAAAACGCAAGGCTCTTTTAACAGTATTTCTGCGTCGCTTGGGCCTGCAGCTGAGTTCCAGCTGTCCAGAGTAACTAATTAATTAGTAACTAACAGGTCTTTTCTCCCTTCACAGCGCCTCCTTCCTGCCTGGAGATTGCCTTGCCCTTCCCCCCACTCCCCTACCCCACTCAGGAGCCTGGCAGTTTTCCGCTCCGGTGCCCTGGACAGCGCCGCCTGGGTGGCCGTCCTCCTGCAGCTGCTTTCTGTCCACTAGAAGAGATGTCCCCACGATTTAGCAGTAACCAGGCGATGTCCCCACGGACTACTGTGGTCCAATTCCCGCGCATCCCCCCTGTGGGAATCAGGCTTTTCCCGGGAGAAAACCCCAGGAATCCAGCTTAGAGAAAACTTCCTACGTCTCCTCTCATCCCCCACCCCACCCGGGGGAAACTGGAAAACCGGGAGACAGTCCCTTTCCCGCTTGTAGATACACGCACGGCGGCCACGAGGGCTGGGTGGGACGAGTGAGTGCGTCCCTCCCCTCCGTGGGCAGGGTAACAGAAAGCCGGCGAACAAGTTCCTGGGGAGAGCGCACCCTCTAAGGCACCCACTTGTTACCCAGCGGAGGAGGGTGGGGAGTGGCGAGGCAGGAGGAGAGAGAATTCCCGAAGCACATTTCCCCGGGAACAAAAGGAGTCAGGCTCCCTGCACTCGAGAGAGTGAAACCTGGCTGGAGGGGCTGGAGTCCTGCGCCAAGGTCAGGCGCAAGAGCCGCACGCCCCGCAGAGTGGACTCGGGGTTTCTAGGAAAGGTATTGACCACGTCTGTTTGAGTCAAATGCGGGGCTAAGGTGGCTATTGAGGGGGCTTGAGGAAATGGTGGTAATCCCAGAAAAGGCATGACACGTCCTGTTCACCAAGATTTTGGGAACAGAAGAGCGGGAAAGCCATATGACCCCGCATATTATTCGGAGGAATAGGCAAGTCTCCCGGTCCCACCCCTGCAGCTGTGATGCAAAGAGGACCAGTCACCGACGTGAGGCAGGAAAATAATGCCCCCTCCCCGGAAGGGGGTAGGGAGGTGGGGAGAGTGGGCAGCGAGCAGTCTCCAACCACTGGGGTGAGAGAGCGCGCATTCTGTGGAAACAAACCCCGCCTAAATAATTGAGTTAGGAGCCCACTGCCTTCAGAGGCTCGGAGCGCACCTCCCCAGCTTCCTCTGAGTTGAGTAAGGGAAGAGCAGGAAAAGCGGCGGCTGACGGAACGGAGAGCAGCTCAGTTGGCCGGTGGGACGCTGCGCCCGGAGACGCCTGTGGGAGGGAGAGCGGAGCCCCGCGAGCGGCGAGTGCGGGCAGGAGAGAACGCAGCGGGTCAGGAGCGCACGTCCGCGGAGGCAGGAAGGGAGCGAGCCTCCGCGGAGGTCGAGGCGCTGCTGCCCGGACAGGATGCGTTTCGCCAGGGGCAACTCCAGCGGGGACAACGCCACTCGGGAAGGCGGGGGTCCGCCGAGGGACTGGCGCAACGAGGAGCTGGCCAAGGCGGAGGTCGCTGTGCTAGCCGTGATTTTCGTGGTGGCGGTGCTGGGGAACAGTAGTGTGCTGCTGGCGCTGCACCGCACGCCCCGCAAGACGTCCCGCATGCACCTCTTCATTCGCCACCTGAGCCTGGCGGACCTGGCTGTGGCTTTCTTCCAGGTGCTGCCACAGATGTGCTGGGAAATCACCCACCGGTTCCGGGGACCCGACGGGCTGTGCCGCGTGGTGAAGCACCTGCAGGTGTTCGTCATGTTCGTGTCGGCGTACATGCTGGTGGTCATGACCGCGGACCGCTACATCGCCGTGTGCCACCCGCTGAAGACGCTGCAGCAGCCCGCGCGCCGCTCGCGCCTCATGATCGCCGCCGCCTGGGCGCTGAGCTTCGTGCTGAGCACGCCGCAGTACTTCGTCTTCTCCGTGGTCGAGGTGGACAACGTCACCAAGGTCTGCGACTGCTGGGCCAGCTTCATCCAGCCCTGGGGTCTCCGCGCCTATGTGACCTGGATGACGAGCGGCATCTTCGTGTTGCCGGTGATCATCCTGAGCACCTGTTACGGCTTCATCTGCTACCACATCTGGCGCAACGTCCGCGGGAAGACGGTGCCCCGCGAGGGAAAGGGCGCCCAGGGCACCGGCGGCGCCTTCCACAACGGGCTCCTGCTCGAGCCCTGTGTCAGCAGCGTGAAGATCATCTCCCGCGCCAAGATCCGCACGGTGAAGATGACTTTCGTGATCGTGACGGCTTACATCGTTTGCTGGGCGCCCTTCTTCGTCGTCCAGATGTGGTCCGTCTGGGATGAGAAGTTCCCCTGGGCAGGTAAGTGTCTCCATGGAGGAAGGTGCTGGGATGGAGTCCTGACGGGGCGGGGGGGTTCTTTTCATAATATGCCCTAGGTCCTAGGCAAACTGGGCTCGCCAGCCACATGCGGCTCTTTGGCCCCTTGAGTGTGGCTCTTCCTAAGCCTTAGGAGCACCCTAATTAAGTTAATAACAATGTACCTACCTATATAGTTTAAGTGTAAAAAATTTGGCTCTCAAAAGAAATTTCAATTGTTGTACTGTTGATATTTGGCTCTATTGACTAATGAGTTTGCCGAACACTGACCTAGGACAGTTTTTCTTAAATTTCTGTGTGCATGAGAATTACACCTTGGGTGAAATTCTCAACAGGGCATATTCCTGGGGTACCCACCTCAGACGTTTTGTTTCAGTAGCTCTGGAATGAGGCCCAGGGATCTGCATTTGTAGTCTGCAGTGATCCCAGGACCAGAAATCCAGAAACCATGCCCTAAAGTGAGCTACACAACTCCAAGACAGGATGACTTCCTTTTTCTCAATAAACTTTAATAATTCCCCTCCATAAAGGCCTTCATGTGTTAGATTTCTTCCTAGGAGTTTTATATTTGTTAATGCTACGGTAAGTTTATTTTTTAATTACATTCTAACTGGTTGCTGCTGATTATAGATATATTGTTGCTATGTGTTGATTTTAAACCAGCAACCATGCTAAACTTTTATTGTGTTTTTTTTTTAAATTGTGGACACTATTACAGATGCCCTCCATTTGCCCCCATTTGCACAGTTTTTTGTGTCTATGGGCAATGCATATATGAGTGACTTTTTGCCAATCACTAACCTCTATGTTAAGTACCCTGCTTTCAAATCTATTGGATTTAAGGAAATATTTTTACTGTCACAACTGCTTTTTGTTAGCTTGTGAAAAGTATCACAATTAATAAAAACATTTTGTGGTAAGAGTAAAATGTACATATTTTTTTCTGAAAAAAGGAGTCTTAGGAAGTCAATAATTCTAATTTGGCATTTAGCTAGTACTCCAATTCTTATAATCCTTTTCTAACAACTACTTTAACAATCTTTGGGGGGGGATTTCAAAGTACAATTATTAATAAACTCTAAATTTGTTAAACTAATTAATTAGTCTTTCAGCAGTAACCTGACCATACAGCTATACACCTCTTTATGCAACCTTTGCAATAGTTTATGAAAAATGTTCCCTACACCTACTAGCTTGCTTGATTTTAATTCCTTCACAAACTAGAAAAACTAACTTCACTAGAATGTACCCCAAAAGAAATGATTTAATATTGTATCTTGAAAAATATATTTCCTTTTAGTAAGAAAAACTTTCAAAAGAACTCTATTACAGGAATGTTACCAACAACTGTAGTTGAGAAATGGGTATCTGGGAAGAACTGTCTTCTTGTTATTTGGGATTCACTAGGGAGTATATGTGAAATACTTTGGAATTTATATGTGCAAATAAAATATTTGAGCATGAACTTAATTCAAAGAAATGAAAATTCATGCATGACTATAATATTACTGATGAAAAATACAACATAAATGCTATATTTTTGGTTTACCATTTCCTGTCTTGCTTGGTCTTAGCAGCCTAATTATTGCCAATCAAATAAAAAAATCAGCCTAATAATTACTTATAGGAATTTAGACATGATTACTAAAATATTCTTCACTTATATGGAAGTATGATTTCCATTCTTTTTTGAATACTCTTAGCCATGGATAATGACCACCTTTAAAAGTATAGCATCTTAGCACAAAGTATGATTAAATAACATGTAATTTATTCTGGCATAGCATGAGTGAGAAGACACAGGCTTGTGTTTTATAATCAAGGGAAAGTCAGTGCTTGATAATTATTGTTATCTTCAGAAAAGGCGTATTATCTATTGTTCTAGTGTGAAAGTGAAAGATTATAATACGTATGCAGTTTAATAGGGCAAACTAACATAAAATGTTTCAAAAGCCTGTTGGAATTTCCTAATTCAACTGTTCTTAATATAATTTAATTTTTAAACCACAATCAAAGAAGGTTTTCTTTTTAAATTAAGAATTTTCTAATTAACCAAAAAAAAACCACCACACAACAAACTAAATATTGCATCCTTCAGGGACCTATTTCAATTGTCCCCTTCTGTATAGTTTTGTTATTACAAGAATATTTTTTAATATTTAAAATTTAAAACTATTAAACATGGTGCAGGATGTCAGTCATACTTCTGTCTGAGTTATTGGGATGAATACAATTTGATGTATATGGTTATAGACTCTGGAAATTTCATCGCAATTGAAGCAGTTCTGTAAGTGCTGTGTCCTTTAGCACATGCTAGTACTAGAACAAAGGATACAAACTTCTAAAAAATAAGTTACTTAATATTCTTAACCTCTTAAAAATCCCACTTATTCTACTTAAACATTTTAACAGTGTTTTTAAATATCTGAATTCATTTCAAGGCATTTTCCTCACAAAAATATTTTATAGCCAAGCAATTTCCATATACCACCTATTTCCCTGCTTGATAAACAAAAGTCTTCACTTTCTATATTAATCCATAAATCTTTCCTACCTTCATTAGTCAATAGAAAAATAATTTTTTTTACTTGCATTTGACTATTTGAATAATCTCTGCTTATGATTTCCCTAGATTCGGAAAACCCAGCCATCACCATCACTGCATTGCTGGCTTCCTTGAATAGTTGCTGCAACCCCTGGATATACATGTTTTTTAGTGGCCATCTCCTGCAAGACTGTGTCCAAAGCTTCCTGTGCTGCCACAACATGAAGCAAGCATTCAACAAAGAAGATTCTGACAGTATGAGCAGAAGACAGACTTCTTACACTATCAACCGGAGCCCGACAAACAGTATGGGTGCTTGGAAGGACTCACCTAAATCTTCCAAGTTCATAAAATTTATTCCTGTTTCAACCTGAGCCCCTCATTCATGCAACTGACTCTTGGGACAGACTTTCTTGCCCATTGGCTGAATCCAGCTCACAATCTTGAGAACAAATGAACTACATCAAATAAGCATATGTCAATTTGTTGGGTATAAGACTTTGTTTCTGGTTGCATTTTCATATTGCTATGACCAAATGCTATGAATTGCTTTATACAGAATGATAATAAAAACATGCTACACTAAAATGTTCAGGCCTAATTCCCAGAAATATAACAAGTTCCTGAAGGAAATATAACAGATGTTTCTAAAGGAAAAATCTTGACCATCCTGATGTTATATTTTATTGTTGGTTTCTTCTCTTTTTACTTCTGATATAACTAAGGTTTGATTGGTTTAGAAGTCATATAATGTAGGGGCGTTATTTCTGAACAAAGTGAGCTCACCATCCATCAGCGTTAGAGTTGGAAACAAATTAGAAAAGACATCAAAGAAATTGTTTCCATTCAATAAAATCAATTTATACATCAGAAAATGCAGCCTCAACCAGTGGCCTAGAGATGGGATGGCGCCTTGGAGAAGCATGAGCAGGGGCGTGCCTGGTTCAGAGTGGAAAGAAGAAAGTTTTATTAGAAGCTATAAATCACCTAAAATTCCAAAACAGGAAGTTTAGAACTGGCAGTTCCCTCCTTTTGGTTCCTCATGCTTTGTTGGTTGTGAAATGCCAATGGACTAAGATGCAGAAGGTTAGAAAAATGTGTCAACTCACTAATAATACTTTTCTTCTCCTGCAAGGTTGTTCTAAATTCACATTTGTATCAGGAATACTCAGTTTTATTAGAAAAGTAGAAGTGGATTGCCCAAGGTACTAGGCAGACTTTCTCTAGAACAGTGTAAACATGTTTTGACCAGTGTCAAACTATAACCCTGCTATTGGACAATACCCTTTTACAGAACGGTTTGCTAGATATTAACATGATCATTGCTTTACAGTTGGGGAGTCCAGATTCATAGATAAGAAAGTCTGCTAAAGAGTGACTCGAGATATATAATGTCCCCTAGCATTTAATTAAAATAACTTGGTCTGTCCTTCCCATCTCCCACCCTTTTAACAGTGTGGGTAGAAGAAAGGCAGGGTTTCTACCAGGATGCAGAGGGAGATAGAAAAAATAAAAAAACTGCTCTGCACCTCCTCTGCTTTTCTTCATTGTTAAATGCATGACTTTAGGCAAATTCTTTAAAAATACATAAAGCCTCTATGTCCTTGGCTGTACAATGGAGTTGGTAACACACTCCTCACAGAGTCATTGTGAGGACTAAATGAAATAAGTGTGTAAAAGAGCTTCATAAATAAACTGCCAAGTGCTATACAAATGCTAGTAGTTGTTTTATTATAGTCTTGGGGCCTTGAGAATCTCTCAGCCTTTTTCTGTTTACTTTTCATTAACCAGAATTTGTTGGTTTCATGTCTGGGATATAAAATCCTAAAACTTAAATATAGCTTCGCTGATTCATTGGAAAGCACTGCCAGCGTCGCTGAGCCTGACTTCTGCCTAACTCGTTTCCAACTTTAAAGACAGAACTTGCTTTCCTTTGAATGCAGGTAAATCAAAGCCAGCCGAGAGCATCAGTTTCTTTCCTTTCCAAAGAGAGATAAATCACAACACTATTTGGCTGTTGTTACTGCTTTTTTTTTTTTATTTTATTAATGGAACTCAGTGGGTTTATTCTGGCTATTTTGTCTGGCTCCTTTTCCTTCTTAGAGACCATGCAATAATTTGAGGATATATCATAAATATTTTGCATCTCTTAAAGGAAGTAATAGTTATTTTAATAGTATTGTTGGTGGTTTTATTATTATTATTTTTAAATAACTCTGTAGATAAGAAACTGAGGACTGGATTGCACTGTGAGAACCTGAACCCAGCAACTTCACTCCTCTTCATTTTCTTGCCTCTCCAAATTCTCAGGCCTTTTACTCCCTGGATTGATATGCCTTAAAAAAAAAGTTTGCAAATGTTCTATGGATATTAGGCCCTTAGGTCTTAGAAGTCTGCTTTTCAAAAATAAAAAATATGTTTCTTAAAGGGTACCCTCCAATATGAGGTATCAATTAAATTAATCAATTCTTTATTAGTTGAGGCATGGCAGCATCTCAGTAACCCTGCCCTCTGTAACACTGTCAGCTTTTCGACACCTTCTCTTTGATAGTTCAAAAATGAAATCCTTTGAGTTGGATAAAAGATGAATCCACTTCTTTTTCTAAATCTAGTTGCAAAAGAATAACTTCATGCTTCTTGTATAGACTGCCAAATGTAAAACAATTCAGTTTCAATTTTACTTCTAGGAACATCTATCAAATCAGGTGCATATCAACCTACCCAGCCATGTTTTCTCCTTTCAAATTGCATGAGATGAGATACAGAACAAAGGCTGGGGAGACCCCAGAAGATCCAGTGCTAGTTCTGCACTAAGCAAGTATATGGTCTTATTCTCTGCGGTTTAGGCTTGTAGTTAAGAATAAATGTGTTGTACCAACTTCTTTTATTTTGCAGAGTTATCTGAAGGGAGATCCTGCAAGTACACCATATTAATGTATCTGTGTGGATATGGGGAAATGATTGTTAGATAATCATCTGCAGGGAGAAACTGGTGATATTGTCCACTGGGCATTTGATAAATATTAGTTGATGATGAAAAAAATAACATTTTAAAGTACATAATGTACTTAATGGATTAATTTTTGGACATGTATTTTCAAGGTATAAAACTACTCAGCTTTTATACTAAAATATCATTTGGAACATAACTGTGAAGAAAATTAGTGAAATTCGATGGTTAATTATATACACTCCATACATATAGAATTTCTTCAAAGCAGTCTTCAACCATGATTGAGGGAAGGGTATGGTTTTTAAAGAGAAAAAGAAAAATCAAGTAGTCCTAATAACATGCAGTACCCTCCTAATCATATCACAGTTCTTAGAATGGACAAACCATTGGTGATTAAAAAACACAACTTTAATCTGTTATAGCACAAGTAAAGCAATCCAATTATATTAAAATTTTATAAACTTTAGATTCTAAAACATACATTTTTGTAATGTAATTGGACACTCAGAGCTTTAAATTATTATAGCTTCAGAGTTTTCTCTACCACGAAAGCATAATTGGAGCTATCTAGGGAGACATTGAGCCTAGCCTCACCCCAGATATCAAAGATTAGTCTCCTTTCAGTCCACATAAACTGAGCCCTAATGGATTTTCATTCTGGAGGCAATAGCTCTATTTAAAGTAAGCCCAGGCAGGGCAGCTGGGATGCTAGCCCAGGGGGTGCAGAAGCAGCCATTCCCCACTTCCTCTCTCTCCTTCCCTGTGGCCCTTTTAGCACACTCAGTGTCCTTAGCAACACCGGGAATCATGAGTAACACAGAACAATAAATATTAGAGAATAATTCTTTATTCAAATTTGAGCAAAAATTTAAGACCTACTCATAAGCAGAGTTATGTTCTCAAGGCAACTGAAATGGCTGCGTCACACAAATTGTGTGATTTCATTGCATACCAAAGCATTTGAAAAATATTGTTCTAAATCAATTTTTAGATATAGTAATTTATCATGAATAAAAATATATTTTATCTATAGTATGTCATATCAAAAATATATATATTATGGCTCAATATTAAATGCCATTATTTACTTTTTTATTTTATATAATATAAACTCACATCACATCTTTTTACATTGATTATATTCCAAATAAAAACAAAGTGTCATGGAGCGAGTTAAATATTTTTGTGTCCCAGGGTCAAATTAGGAAATACAGAAAAGAAACTTTGAGAATAAATCTGATAGTAATATCAGAATAATTATTAATTATTATTAATATGAAATAATTAACATTTCCACACATGAAGGTAGTTATATTTATATCATGGGATTTATGACATATTCTATGATGTATTAGCTCCTTATTATAACAAATGTATTAAGAATTAATGTTGTATATTTAGTATTTTATTTTGGGAACTATTATTCAAATGTTCTATATCCCCTAGCTTATTATGCTATACTAGAGGCCCAATGTACAAAATTCATGCAAGAGTAGGCCTTCGCAGCCCCAGCTGCCTTGGCCTTCACAGCCCTGGCTTTGTCCAGAAGGTTGTCCAGACGGTTGTCCCGCTGTTCGGCCATTCAGTCGATTTGCATATTACACTTTTATTATTATAGATAGATGAATTTCAATGTGTATTATTGAGGAAATTGTATGACTCTGGTTTTGATGGATGTTGAAATGTTTTGTATTGTACCTAATATTTGGTCCTTTACTGAAAAAATGTCTTGTGGCATTATATTGAAATAAGTGGTGAATTTATTTCTTAATTTTACTGTGTATTGGCTTGATTCCACAAATAAAAATAAATCTCAAAGTTGTTTGAAATAATTTTATTACAACTTAGTTTAATAATGAAATATATTTCAATTTAATTATGCTGATTTTAAAAAACTTAAATGCTTTACAGCTGGTAGCTATTGATAGCTTTACATTTGAACACAAAGATGTTCTTGTTTATATTCTTTAACTGTATCTAGAACAGATAAAACTTCATAATTCTATTTTCAATAAATTACAATAATGAAAGCAAATTAATTTTATTTTAGTTTGTATTAAGACAACCAAAATAATCCGTTAACTGAGGTCAGGTATGTCATCCTAGCCTAAAAATGTCATCTCTGTCTATTTGCCTCTAGAAGTTTGAGACTGAATTCTGGGCTCATATGTCAAATCTCTTTCCTGTCTCATAGTCTTTAAAATTGGAATTCTTTACCCTGTGTACTAATAAATTCAAATCACATTAAGTTTCCATTTATTTTTTTTTCTTTGACAAGTTAAACCCTAGTAGCATGGACTAAAAGGCTTATTTTGGGTTTGGCTTAAATTCTAGAAACAGTGAATGCCCAGAATGGAAGAAAGGGAATTTGAAGTCTCTATTTTAAAATACTGTTATTCTAGAACTCACTGTTATTTTAAAAGACTTGTAAATGCTTAAGAATAAACAAGATTTCTACCAAAACATGTTTTTAAAAGGTCCTATCAATCAGGTAACATTGAACTAATAGTTCCATTGTATACCAGAAGATACTCATATAAAGAAATGCACTAGTGGCCTGGTCAATGTGGCTCAGTGGTTGAGTATCTATCTATGAACCAGGAGGTTGCAGTTAGATTACCAGTCAGGACACATGCTTGGGTTTGAGACTCAATCCCCAGTAGGGGGTGTGCAGGAGGCAGCCCATCAATGATTCTCTCATCATTGATGTTTCTATCTCTCTCCCTCTCCCTTCCTCTCTGAAATCAATAAAAATATCCTATCTAATAATAGACAAAGATGCAAATTGACCATACCTTCGCTCCATCCACCACTGGCTAATCAAAGCAATATGCAAATTAACCACCAACAAAGATGGTGGCTAATTTGCATATACCAGCGGGGAGCGAAGACTGAAGACACCTTAGAAGGAAGCCAAGCAACAGAGCCGAGGTAGCGGAGACAGGCGGGAGAGAAGCAGCAGAGAAGGGTGGGGTAGGAATGGCAGAGAAGGGCAGGGTAGGAGTGGCAGAGAAGGGTGGGGTAGGAACGGCAGAGATGGGAGCGAAGCCCTATTCTTGCAGGAATCTTCCTGCAACGGGCCTCTAGTATTTTAATAAAAGAAATGCACTAGTGTAGGATTTATTAATTCATTCATTCTCTACCTTTAACCCTCCTTAATCTCTAGAGCTAAACATTTTTTCTCTTCTTTTCAAATGCCCTCTCAATATCTACACTATGACATACCAAAATGATTGCAATGTTGGTTTATTGGTCTGTCTTCTCCACAATAATCATCATTGTGTTTATCTTAAAAATAGGAAGCACTTCCTCTTCATCTTTGCATCTTCATATAGTAGCAGCAGTCTATAATATATGGTTAATTAATGAAGATATTAACACACACATATTAACATTAGCAGTTGGAAAAGCAAGCAAAGTCTGTGTTTTTCCCTAGATTTAAGAGGAATCCTGAGGATTATTACTAATCCCTGCTTCTGTTGAACTCTGAATCCACAGCCCATTAGTTTACTTCTCAGGACTACTCTTCTTCATTCTCCTGCCACCTTTCTTCCAACAATTCTGATTGATGGGGTCCCCTAAAGGTTGGGGGTCTGGTGAGGGCTTAGATTATGCCTCAGAAGAGACAGTGATTCATATGCACTCCCCTAGAGGTTCATGGTCATCTCTTCTAAGGAGGGTTAGTCTCTACTTATTCTTCCCTTTAGGATCTTACTGGCTGCTATCTTATTCAATCCTTCTCTCAAATCCCTTGTTTTCCC